CAGAATTAAAATTCATCATGGTTCGCATAAAAGAAAGAAAGAAGAAAGATTCAATAAAGAAACATCAATAAACCCTAATCAAATCTAGGTTACCAAATTGCAGAATCAAAGAAGAAGACTACCTAAGAATTCTGCATCAGTCTTCGATCTTCTCTTCAGTTCGCATTTAGCAACCTTCTCCCTCTCTAACAGTTCTCCTTCTTCTTCTGTTTTGACTCCAAGGGTCCGAACCCTCATTCTCTCTTTTTCTTTTCTTCTTATACTCTTGTCTTCTTAGCCATTTTCTCTTCTAAAAGTTAGCCGCCTTTTCTCCCTTCTCTAGGGCTGCGAATTGGGTTGTTGTTCTTGGTGGGCCAAACTGTTGTTGGGTTGTTCTCCTTGATGGGCCGAACTGTTGTTCTCCCATAAGGTTTTCGGCTGGGTTGCAGTTGGGCCTCTCTCCTTGGTGGCTTCAGTGCTTCCCATGGGGTTTCAGCTGGGCTTTTCTTCTTGATGGGCCGAAGTATGTTCTCTTCACCCTAGATTGCCCCAAACTCCTAGTTTCCTAAAATTATGTTCAAATAGGGTAAAAACAATTGCAGATCATCATTAAAACCATGTATACAGCAATAAAAATGATGTGTAGCATGTGCACACATCAAACTCCCCCACACTTAAGTTTTTGCTTGTCCTCAAGCAAAGATATTACCCATAAACTGATCATCCCTCAGATTATTTCCATCTATCGAATGACTTTTAGGATGAAAATGCGTTAAGTGACCGAAAACCCTACATAAGCACTCTGATTCATCCCCATGACTGGCCACTCTTACCACATACATAATACCAAGGAATGGAAGAACATGAGATTCTTCATGCTCCAGCACTCACTTCCGTTCAATATGTATAGCAACTCCTTAACCACCATTATTAACCATCACTTCGAGCTTGGTCTCAAATCTGTCAATGCACCTAATTGAATGTTCAACCATATTGTGTCCCTTTGAACCTTAGCCGTCACCGAATTCTTTTTTTTCTTTTTTTTTGATGTGAGTGCATTTTATGCTCCATCTTTCACGAGTCACAGGCTGGATGCAGATAACAATACTCATATTCCAAGTTTCTAGTTTTACTATTCAGCTTGGAATAGCGGAGTTGGGACTGAACTCATATCATAAACCGCTAGTTTTACTATTCAGTTCATGACAACGGAATCATTTGGACTTTGTCCTTTTCTCTTTTCTTTTTTTTTCTTTTGCAATTGTTGAAATTCATGCATTAATAGTTCAGATGTGCACTAATAGCTCGAATGTCCATTAAGATTTCAATCAGGTGCCCTATATACATGAGTAGAGTTAGTGTTGGTCATGATGAAAGTCCTATTCGACTTCCTTAACCTCATGCATTGTGATAAATTTGGATTAATTCACAAGAATAAATTCTAGCACTTATAGTGATTCCCTTCAACTCATCGTATTCTCTCTTGGAATTCACCTTATAACCAACAATAATCTTGAGGGAATTTCAGTTTATTCGGCCTATCAATGCATTATGTATTGAGGTGATTAAGGTGCATAGCTACGACCTCCCCCACACTTAACATGAACATTGCCCTCAATGTTCATAGTGATAGAATGTAAAGATGAATTCAGCAATGAGGGCAGTTCCCTAAAGAGCATCATCAAGCAATAAAAGGGGTTTAGAGAACTTTGCTAAAGAGCATTCTGAAATTTGGAAATGGCTCCTTCGTTTGGACCCTCTAGCTGCTAAGATCAAGAGAAATTAGGAGGAGAGAATGATAAACACTAAGAGAGAGCAGCAATCTACAAAACAAAAAAAACTGAATAATACCAAAAAAGAAAAGCAAAAAAAGAACAATTAACAAGAAAAGAAACTACTTATCAACATTGGGTTGTCTCCCAATAAGCACTTGTTTTCCGTCTGAAGCTCGACCTTCCAATAGGATCAACGATCGTCTAGGTATACAGTGGATGGAGTAGGCAGTGTTCCATCCACTATATATGGCTTGAGGCGTTGACCATTGACCTTAAATGTGTCTTGTGTCGGGTGAGTGACCTCTACAGCTCCATGGGGGAAAACTTGGGATATGGTGAAAGGTTCAGACCACCTCGATTTCAACTTGCCTGGGAACAGCCGGAGGCATGAATTATACAATAACACTTGTTGTCCCACCTGAAAGTCACGCCTCAACAAGTTCTTATCATGCCATTGTTTGGTCCTCTCCTTGTAGATCCTAGCATTCTCGTAGGCTGCAAGTCTGAATTCATCCATCTCATTCAGCTGCATTCGTCTTTGTGCTCCTGCTGCCTGCAAATCAAAATTTAATAACTTCAGGGCCCAATATTCCTTATACTCAAGTTCAACAGGTAAATGACATGATTTTCCAAAGACTAACCTATATGGGGACATGTCGACGGGTGTTTTATATGCAGTCCTATATGCCCATAATGCATCATCTAGTTTGACTGACCAGTCCTTTCTAGAAGAGTCTACCGTCTTCTCCAAAATTCTTTTGAGTTCCCTATTGGCAAATTCGACTTGGCCACTGGTTTGAGGGAGATATGGGGTTGCTACTTGTGTAACACCATATTTTCGCATCAGCCGCTCAAATTGGGTGTTGTAGCAATGAGTTCCCCTATCATTAATTATGGTGCGAGGTGTGCCAAATTGAGTGAATAGCTTTTTGAGGAAATGAACTACTCTCCTAGAGTCATTTGTGGGTAAAGCCATGGCTTCCACCCATTTGGACACATAATCAACAGCAACTAGGATGTATTTATTCCCAAAAGAATTTGAGAAGGGTCCCATGAAATCTATACCCCATACATAAAAAATTTCACAGATTAAGATATTAGTAAGGGGCATTTCATTCTGTCAAGAAATATTACCTGTCCTCTAGCACTGGTCACATGCGGACACATACCTGTGAGCATCCTTGAACAAGGTTGGCCAATAGAAACCTGACTGCAACACCTTGGCTGTAGTGCGGTTGGCTCCGAAGTGGCCTCCCGCTTCCCGATCATGGCAGTATTGGTGCACCGACTCCATCTCCTCCTCAGGGACACACCTCCGTACGATCTGATCTACACAAAGTTTATACAGAAAGGGGTTCTCCCACAAATAGTGTTTCACATCAGAAAAGAATTTCTTCCTCTACTGATATGAAAGGTTAGGGGAAAGGATATTTCCAGCAAGATAATTTGCAAAATCAGCATACCAAGGGGATATATCTACCTAAATGGAATAGAGCTGCTCGTTCGGAAACTCATCTCGGAGGGTGCTAGTTATCTTCCCTTCCAAATCTACATTCTCTAACCGGGAAAGATGATCAGCAGCTAGGTTCTCGGTACCCTTCTTGTCATGGATCTCAACATCAAACTCTTGCAGCAGCAGAATCCACCTTATCAGCCTTGTTTTGCATCATTCTTTGCGAGTAGGTGTCTTAATGTCGAGTGATCTGTATACACAATAACCTTGGACAAAATCAGATATGAACGAAACTTATCAAAAGCAAAGATTACCGCTATTAGTTCCTTTTCCGTTGTGGTGTAATTCTGTCGAGCTCCATTCAAGGTCCTGCTAGCATAATAGATCAGCTGAAAGTGTTTATTCATCCTTTGTCCTAGAACAGCTCCCACTGCTGAATCACTCGCATCACACATCAATTCAAAAGGAAGTGTCCAATCTGGTGCTATAATGATTGGGGCATTAATAAGCTTGTCCTTCAGGATGTTGAACGCTTGTAGGCATTCCTTTGTGAAATCGAAGGGCACATTTTTCTGAAGTAAATTGGACAACGACTTAGCTATCTTAGAGAAATCTTTGATGAATCTTCTGTAGAACCCGGCATGTCCCAAGAAGCTTATCACAGATTGGATGGGTGTTGGTGGTGGCAACTTCTCAATTGTCTCCACCTTGGCTCTGTCAACCTCTATCCCTCTTTGTGAAACCTTATGTCCAAGCACAATGCCTTCTTGCACCATGAAATGACATTTCTCCCAGTTCAGCACTAGATGTGTTTCCTTGCACCGCTTGAGCACCTTCTCCAAGTTATTTAAACATGCATCGAAGGAAGAGCCAAAAACCGAAAAATCGTCCATGAAGACCTCCATAAACTTCTCAACCATATTAGAAAAGATAGCCATCATGCACCTCTGAAATGTGGCTGGAGCATTACATAACCCGAATGGCATCCTCCTGTAGGCAAAGGTACCGTAAGGACATGTGAATGTGGTATTCTCCTGATCTTCCGGTGAAATCAGAATCTGATTATATCCTGAATACCCATCTAAGAAACAATAGTACTCATGTCCAGCCAGCCTCTCTAGCATCTGATCGATGAAGGGTAGAGGGAAATGATCCTTGCGTGTGGCTTCATTCAATTTTCTGTAAGCCTCTCTAGCATCTGATCGATGAAGGGTAGAGGGAAATGATCCTTGCGTGTGGCTTTATTCAATTTTCTGTAATCAATGCACACTCACCACTAGTAACGGTCCTAGTCGATATGAGTTTATTCCTTGCATTCGGTACCACGGTCATGCCACCTTTCTTCGACACTACTTGCACGGGGCTCACCCATGAGCTGTCGGAGATCGGATAAATGATATCAGCATCTAACAGCTTGATAACTTTTGCCTTCACTATATCCTTCATGTTCGGGTCCAGGCGTCTTTGGGGCTGAACCGAGGGCTTGCTGCCGTCTTCCATCAGAATTTTATGAGTGCAAACTGACGGATTAATTCCCTTGATGTCTGCTATCTTCCAAGCCAAAGTTGTCTTGTGTTCCCGTAACACCCGCAACAGTTTTTCTTTCTGCAAAGGGGTCAAGGCTGCTGATATGATCACTGGTAGGGCTTATGGTGCTTCTAAGAAAGCATACTCCAAGTGCGGTGGGAGTTGCTTCAGCTCAAGGGTAGGTGGCTCTTCGGTTGAAGGCTTGCTTTCTGGCATTGAAGGTCTGTCTAGCTCTCAAACTTGATGAACCCCTTCCCTTGAAACTGCTAATTTGCATTCAAGTATGTTGCCATATTTTGAATCTCTTCATTTTTCCCCACTATGGCTTTTCCCTCTTGTATGCATAGCTCAAGGGGATCAGCCGACCTGTTAACCTGAAAACAATCACCAACATCATAATCAATGACATCAATCATATAGCAAGAATCATCACTAGAAGGTGCATGTTTCATAGCATCAGACATTTTAAAAATTACTACCTCATCTTGAATCCTAAGGCTTAGTTGCCCTTGTTGGACATCAATCATTGTCTTCCCCGTAGCTAGGAAAGGTTGCCCTAGGATAAGAGGGACATCAACGTCCTCCTGTATGTCTAAAACTATGAAATCCGCAGGAAAAATGAATTTGTCAACTTTAACAAGTACATCTTCTATGATTCCCCTAGGATGCTTTATGGACCTATCAGCTAACTGCAATGCAACTCTAGTGGGTTGGGGTTCACCCAACCCCAATTTCTTAAAAACCGAATATGGCATCAAATTTATACTAGCTCCTAAATCACACAATGCCTTATTAATTTTCAAACTGCCTATAGTGCAAGGAATAGTAAAATTCCCTGGATCTTTTAGTTTCTGAGGCAACTTGTTGAGGAGGATTGCCGAGCATTTTTCATTCAGTGCAACTGTAGCCACGTCTCCCAGTTTCCTTTTATTCGCCAAGATTTCCTTCAGGACTTTGCGTAGTGTGGCATATGGGCTAAATCATCAGCAAAAGGGATGTTAATATATAAACTCTTAAAATTTTCAAGAAACTTACCGAATTCCTTTTCCAATTTGTGTTGCTTTAGCCTATTCGGAAATGGTACTTGCGGCTGTTGACTTTTCTCCTTCTTTGAATCAGATTGCTCTTCCTCCTTTTCAGTTTCTAGGGTTGCACCCACCTTGCCTTCTTCCTTTGCCTTCTTCTCCACCTCTTGCAGCTCCTTACCACTCCTCAAGGTAATGTCTTGCACCTGTTCTCTTGGATTTGCCACGATGTTACTGGGTAAAGCGCCTTGAGCTCTAGAAAATATCATCCGTGCCAACTGCCCCACTTGAGTCTCCAAGTTCTTGATCGATGCTTCTTGGTTTTGAAATCTCATTTCTGCACTTGCTATGAACTTGGTCATCAGCTCCTCTAGATTAGATTTCTTTTCTGGCTAATTTTAATTTTGGGGAAAGTGTTTCACCGCATTTTGATTTTGCCAAGACTGATTCGGGTGGTTCCTCCATCCAGGATTAAATGCACGAGGGTACTGATTGCCTTGCTGCCCTTGCAGATTACCAACAAAATCCACCTGCTCGGGAGACTGCACGAACTGATTTCCAACTTGACATTTAGTGCTGATATGACCTCCCCCACACCATTCACAAGCTACGGTCTGAACATGCATGGCTGCCATCTGCATTTCATCTATCTTCTTGCTAAGGGCACCGATTTGTGCAGATAGTGCTATATAAGTGTCTACATTGTGAAGTCCGGGCTGTCTCCTAACTTGGGCTCTCTTGGAATGCCATTGATAGTTGTTTGCAGCCATCTCCTCAATGAGTGCATGGGCAATTTCAGGGGTCTTGTTATTAATGGATTCCCCAACTGCAGCGTCCATAATAGTCTTATTGGCTTCAGTCAACCCATTATAAAATGTCTGAACATGCAGCCATACGGGAAGTTCATGATGAGGGACTTTCCTCAATAACTCCTTGTAACGCTCCCATGATTCATACAATGACTCTCCGTCCTACTAATAAAAGGTGGTGATATCATTCCTCATCTTTGTTGTCTTGGACGGAGGAAAATATTTGGACAGGAAGCGGCTGGCCATTTCATCCCAAGTTGCTATCAATCCAGCAGGTAAAGAGTTCAGCCAAGTTTTGGCTTTGTCTTTCAATGAGAACGGAAACAATCTAAGCCGCATTGCATCATCACTAATCCCATTGTGCTTGAATGTGTCACATATTTCCAAGAAATTGGCGATGTGAGTGTTCGGATCTTCATGAGCCAAGCCGCAGAACTGAACAGTATTTTGTATCATCTGAATTATTCCTGGTTTGATTTCGAAGTTATTAGCAGTTATTGCTGGTCTCACAATGCTCGAGGCAGCCCCGGTGAGGGTTGGTTTGGCATAATCCATCATGGTCCTTGGTTCGGCCATCTCCTCACTTGCTTAGAAGCTCTAAGGCGGCGACAAAGAGTTCTTTCAATCTCGGGATCATAGGTGATGCTCTCCTTTTCACTTCTGCGTGTAATAAACTGTACAAGTCAAAGTCATAAAAATGCTAATACACAGATATCATAAACATAATGTACAAAATCATATTAACAATGATAGATGGTTCCTAATATTGCTGTAATAAATCCCCGGTAATGGTGCCAAAAACTTGATGCATATAGATTACACTAGCAGGTGCACTAGCCAATCAAGTAATATAATGATGAATAGAGTATCGCTCCCACGAGGATTGATCCAACAACTACTAGTACTGAATCAGCCGTATGTTATCTAATAAACCAAAATATTAAACAAAGAAAAAACCTAACTCCTAATTAGCAAACTACCCTAAGCAATTTGGATCAGACCACCTTTAATAATAAGAAGAATTACTGCATGCAAGAACTAACAGAACCGGTTTAGCAATTAAATCGTTAAGTTGTCCAATCGAAGTGAATTCAGTCTTGGGTTGGCGAAACCCTAATTTTATGAGCAGCCTCTCTCGAGCGCAGCCCACCCCTATCTATAGGCGACAATTCCTATATCTCTATCAGAAATTTAATCACCTTAGATACATTAAGAACAAAGAACTCGCAGGTCATCAATTCAGGTATGAATGATTGCCAACCGAACCATGCAAATCATCTCTAATATGCATTCAATCCGTTTTCTTGATTAGATGATCTGATTACCTAAACTCTTTCTCAAGCAATTCAAGTAATCCAAGATACAAGAACAATTCAGACAAGATTATTCTATAAATCGAAAACCTTAATCAAGAATCCCAATAATAAATCATAATCAATCGGATCTGCTTAAAATTAATTACAAATCAGAATTAAAATTCATCATGGTTCGCATAAAAAGAAAGAAAGAAGAAATATTCAATAAAGAAACATCAAGAAACCCTAATCGAATCTAGGTTACCAAATTGCAGAATCAAAGAAGAAGACGACCTAAGAATTTTGCATCAGTCTTCGATCTTCTCTTCGGTTCGCATTCAACAGCCTTCTCCCTCTCTAGCAGTTCCTTCTTCTTCTATTTTGACTCCAAGGGTCCGAACCCTCATTCTCTCTTTTTCTTTTCTTTTTATACTCTTGTGTTCTCAGCCTTTTCTCTTCTAAAAGTCAGCCGCCTTTTCTCCCTTCTCTAGGGCTGCGAATTGGGCTGTTGTTCTTGGTGGGCCGAACTGTTGTTGGGTTGTTCTCCTTGATGGGCCGAACTGTTGTTCTCCCATAAGGTTTCGGCTGGGTTGAAGTTGGGCCTCTCTCCTTGGTGGCTTCAGTGCTTCCCATGGGGTTTCGGCTGGGCTTTTCTTCTTGATGGGCTGAAATATGCTCTCTTCACCCTAGATTGCCCCAAACTCCTAGTTTCCTGAAATTCTGTTCAAATAGGGTAAAAACCATTGTAGATCATCATTAAAACCATGTATACAACAATAAAAATGATGTATAGCATGCGCGCACATCAATTACCAGTCAGCAGCTTGGTTTCTTTCTCTCTAAACGTGGAAGTATGCTACGTGAAAGTTTGTTTCCTGTCTTCAATTGCCCACACTCCCTGATAAGTTGTTCACATTTCCATGGTGGTTGATCCTTTAAAAGGAGACGATCTCTTCTCTTCTTACGTGTGTACATGTGCCATTCAACTATAAAATTTTATATCTACTAACGTTTTGTTCGTGAGTGGATATAAAATTGAGATAAGTGGACTGCAATCCACCTAGAAATTTGAAATTGCAGCCCCCTCCTAGTCTACTAGTAGCCCCCCTATAAACTGCATACTGTCCATGAATTTGGCATCAATCCACGGACAGGATTCATCTGACCTATATGGTAGGGGTCAGATTTCTGAGGTGGATTGAACTATAAAGGCCCCTATGAAATTTCTTAAAAACATTTTCTAAATTTTTTATTTCTCTCTTATTTTTCATTTGGAAATACTGAGCTAAAGATTTCATACCCAAGACAATTCTATCCACACCTACCTACATAACATCACAGTCACACATAAGGAACATCTCATCCTTTTATATGTTATTATGCACGAGAAGATGTTCCCAATGCACGATGGTAGTGTTCCCAATGCTCTACAAGGAACATCTCATCCTATTATAGAGCTCAGATCTAGAATCGTTTTGAAGTGCTTTGGATAAGCTATTCAAAGAAGCTGATGACCAACTGAAAGCCAATTTGGGCTTTCTAGATATTTTACCAAAACTCTCATGCGAACCTTGGATGGGTCCAAAGCTATCAATCAAGCAATGTTTTGGGCCTTCAAAGTTCAAACCCATGAAGACTGAAGAGTCCTTAATTCATTCTCGCTGACCATGCCTCACGTGCCTCGCTCGTGCTACTGTCGGACTCAGAAAAAGAAAACCAACAACGAAAACCCGAAAAACAAAACTAAAAAACAGAGTCCACTAGAGAAAGTGCTCCAGTTTCATAGCTGAGGGAAGTGGAGGAGCTTTCGATGCAGTGAAGGGGACTTCACACTTCAGATCGGTTGGTTTAGTTTTATTGCAGAGAGAGAAAGAGAGAGAGAGAGAGAGGGAGAGAGAGAGATGTCGGACCTGGACAGGCAAATAGAGCAACTGAAGAAATGCGAGCCTCTCAAGGAGTCCGAGGTGAAGGCTCTCTGCCTTAAAGCTATGGAAATCCTCGTTGAGGAGAGTAATGTTCAACGGGTCGACGCCCCAGTAACCGTAAGCCATGAAAACCCCATTTCAATACAGCTCCATCTCCTATTTTATTTTAACCCTTGTTGCTTTGGTTCTGTTTGATTCCTTTTCCCTCATATACTATGGGTTTATTTTATGCTTTTTTTTGTCCTCCTTTTCATTTATTTTCGAGTAGGTGTTTTTTTTGAGGAATATGGAATAGTTCTCAAATTATCTTATTTGGGTTTGATTTGGTTTGGGATTTTACTGTTGGAGGCGATGCTTCGAGAGGCTGGATTATCTTGGGATTTCGATGTTTGTGAGAGGTTTATATTTAAAAACTCACATTTTGAAAGAGCTCTCTCTAACTCGTTTGCGATCATCCAATACGAGTTCTATCTGTAAACGAAAGCCGAGTGCCTTGAAAGGAAGCCTTTTCAGCGTCTAACTTTCATTGTTAAACCCAATATAGGACGAGCTTAGACGCTAGTTTTCCTCAATGGGTTTTCTGCATCTAATTGCCTGTTACACAAAAGTAATAACTGTAACATTGTTTCCTTAACATGTGGTGCCCCTGTATAGTTATCTGTAAATGATTTATGGCAGGAGTCAAAACATTTGAGACTCCATTTGAATGTGCCTTTATTAAGCTTGTATCATGCCACCACTGGCGCTCTAACCCCTTGTTTTTCCACCTAGCTACCGCTAGCATGCCTCCTATATTCCATCTCAGAGCTAAGAACTCCTTATCTTAGATTGTTATTGTGGTTACAGATACTCTAGAAGTTATGAAAATTTATGTTAATTGAATTAATTTATTGGCCTAGTTGGCCTTGATAGGAAGTGTAAGAGGATTTTAAGGATAGGGTTCTGAAAGGTGGGTTCGCATTGCCTAAGATGATATGTCGGTGAAAAGGGGAGTAGAGAATCAGGCGAGAATGTGTCTAGATGTTTGCCAAGGCGTTTTATTAGGACTAGAATATTTTACATGACCTTCCAGTCCACTTTTTCTTTTTGATAATTAACCTTCCAGTCCACTTGGCTTTTATGTTTTTCATTAGATAAATGATAATTCAATCCTTCACTAAGTTTGGTTGGATTTGGACTAGGCAATTTCCAGATAGACCCATACTTGATCTCATCCAATCATTTCATCACCAATAGAAACTTCTCCTAACCCCATACATTTTATGGGTTCATGTTGATTAATTGCAATGCATCTTAAGTTCAGTGAAGGTCGTAGTTGGGGTGTCTTCCAACTAAGATACCCCAATATGAACGTTATCTGATCTTAACAACTGCCACCTACATAATTGCCAATAAGTTCTATCACATTGAGCCCTATTTATCTCCACATCATACTAGTCAATGTGGATGAATTGAAAATAGTAACAAGAAAACATTGGAAGGATACTTATTTGACATGTAGAATCACTTCATCTCGAAGGAAATATGAAGCCAATGGTTTTGCAAAATATTCTTTAGCATTGTTGGATCTGAAAATTTTGATTTTGACCCCAAACTGGGTCGAAGCCATTTAATGGAAGATTCGAGTCAAGATAGGAACCTCTTCTCAAGAACGCATAAGATAAACCCATGAATAGTGAGTATAGTCATCAACAAACAACAAGAAATATCTGTATCCCCCCATAGCAGTGATGTGATATGGTCCCCAAACATCAGTATGCACAATTTCAAAAGGAATGCTGCTTCTTTTATTGCTCAAAGAATAGGTTGTTCTACAATGCTTTGCAAGTTCACAACTTTCACATTTCAAACTAGATATCTGGACTGACTCAAGCAAACTCTTCAAAGACCTAAACGGCAAATGACCTAATTGATTATGCCAAAGCATAACCTAATTCATAGACTGAGAAACAAAAGACCTCCCAACTTCTCTATCTTCCCCTTGTGAATTCCCTCCAAGCAGGTAGATTCCATTTGTTTCATGGCCAATCCCAATCACCTTCCTCATCTCCAAATCTTGAAAAATGCATTGATCAAGAAAGAAAGTCATTGAACAGTTTTGCCTTATAGTGATGCTACTAACTGAAAGCAGGTTAGTACTAAGTTTAGGAACATACAAAACTGAAGACAAAGAGATGGCATTAGACAAATAGATAAGCAATAAGTAGTAAACAGTGAGGACATGCCAGTCATGTGGTCAGATGCACTTGAACCTATAACCCAACAAGGTTCATTGTTACCTAGGGCTATGGCATGATATGTTGAAGCCCTTGTACTTGAATGAGAAAAAGCTGAAGTGGGAGTAGCAGATGTTGTAACTGGTGGTTGAGATGAGGATACTGAAGTGCCAACTTCACTTTCCAACTGAGTCGGAGCAGCTCGGACAGCAACCAAAGTGTCTAGGGATGTGGCTCTTGTGCTAAATGAAGGTGCACCATCAGTAGTGATAACCACATTGGCATTCCCCTTTTTATTTCTAAGCTTTGTTGGGATTAGATGTGGATATAACTTCCAACAGGTGTCTTTGGTATGTTTCGGTTTCTTGCAATGTTCACACACTAACTCCCTCTTATCCTCCATATTCCTCTCCTTGTCACCTCCAAACTTTGGTTTCACTGCTGCTAAGGCTAATTCCATAGGTTGATATTGCAACATAACTTTCCTCCTTCTTTCCTCACTGTGCACTAAAGAATAGGCTTGAGACAAGGTCACACTTTCTCTGGTAAGGAGTTGTTGCCTCACAATATTATATTTTGAATTTAGATCAGCTAGGAATTCAAAAAGCCTATTGGTCTCAACCTGTTTTTTGTAGGTTTGTGCATCCCTCTAACTTTCCCACTCAATCGTCTCTAGGTGATCAATTTCATGCCACAAAGATTTCAAAGTGGAGAAGTAAACTGAGATTGGTTTTTCTCCTTGCTTAAGGTTGTTTACTTCACATTTCAGCTCATAAGCCCTAGCAACATTAAGTGGTTGGGAGTAAGTTTCTTTCATAATATCCCAAATCTCCTTAACAGTTTTTGCCCACAAATAATTTCGGTTGATGTGAGGCTGCATGGAGTTGCACAGCCAAGTCATAACCAAATAGTTCTCTTGAACCCATTTGGCATATGTTGGGTCTTCCTTGGTTGGTTCCTTTACATCCCCCATCACATAGCTCAATTTTCCTCTACCCCCAATAACCATCATGGCTGATTGAGCCCATTCCAAGTAATTTGGTCCGTCAAATTTGACAGTGGTAATCTGAAACGTGTTTTCAGTTATGTTTCCAATACCACCAACCCCCAAAACACTTTCCCCTTGATTTTTAAACCCCATTCCTGCCATCTCTTTCAAGAAATTTATCAAAAGGAAACCCCTTTAATGCCGAAACAGATTAATTACACCCAGAAATTGCTAACTGACTTAGAAGGTTGAAATAGGTCTATCAATCACCCAGAAATATTGGAACAGGCCTAATAATCTCCCAGAAACTAATATCAGTCAATCTGAAGTACTGAGACAGGTCTAAATGTTACCCAGAAACTGATAACAGTCATAAATTTAGGGTTTAAATTTGAGAACTGGTTGTAGGTCAATAAAAAAACCCTAAAAAAATTCAGAGAAAATAGAAAACTTCCAGCCACTCCTTCCAGATTACTCAAATTAAATTCTGATTGAAGTCGATCTCAAAAACAAATTGAAACCTACCCAGAAAAGTCTGGTCGCCACCTCCAGTCCACAGTCTGAACCCTAATCTTGAATTTTCTTTCTTTCCTTTGACTCTTCCTGATCACCAGACACCTTCCAAGGCTCTACAATCCCTTGGACACCTGCTGCACTCTACCAGCAATCTCCAAGAACCAGCCAATTGACTTTTTTTTTTTTTGCTAAAACTTCCAACCCTAGGAAGTTCTCATTGCAGTTAGCCTGATTAGTCTCACATGAGAAGCCCTAGGTTGGCTTTGATACCAAGTTGTCTAGTAAGACTACAATAAGTCTTAGTTTAGATCTGAATTAAACAAGAAATAATGTAGAGAATAAAAGAAGAAGAAGAAAAGAAGAAAAAGAAAAGAAGAGGGGAAGAAGAAGAGAGAACACGAAGAGGAGAAAAGATTCAGAGAAGAGTGTGGGTCATTTGTAACACTAGAAGAAGAGAGGGGACCCCGGGTGTCATTTGTAAACTTGATATTGAAAAAGCTTATGACCATGTTAACTGGCAATGTTTGGACTTGGTGTTGGAGAAAATGAATTTTGGGCAGGAATGGAGAAACTGGATCAGAGTTTGTGTTAAGACCCCAAAGTTTTCTATCCTAATTAATGGGCAATCGACGGGGTTTTTCAGTAGCTCTAGGGGTTTGAGGCAAGGAGACCCTCTTTCTCCCTTGCTTTTCATTTGCATCATGGAAATTCTAACTCTTTTTAGCAAGAAGGCTGCAGGGAACGGGCTTTGGGATGGCTTTGCAATCTCGCCAGGAAAGGAAAAAATTAATATCCTTCAATTTGCAGACGATACCTTATGTTTTGTTGATGCTTCCCCAAGTCAATTGGAGGTGGTGCTTGGAATTCTGAGTTGGTTTGAGGTGGTGTCTGGTCTCAAGGTCAACTTGAGTAAGTTTCAGATCATTCCATGGGTCATGTTACAAACTTAGAAGATTGTGTAGATGTGATGGCTTGTTAGATTGCTCATCTCCCGGTCAAGTATTTGGGGCTACCTCTTGGGGCAAAGTGTACTTCCTCTGAGACTTGGGTTCCAGTTATTGAGGGAATGGAGAGGAAACTGGCATTTTGGAAAGCTAAATATCTTTCTTTTGGGGGGTAGAGTAACATTGATTAAGAGCACTCTCTCTAATCTTCCTACTTATTTCCTTTCCCTTTTCCCTATTCCAATCAAAATTGCAAATAGATTGGAGCAAATCCAGAGGAACTTCTTATGGAGGGGTTGGGAGGAGGAAAAGAAGATCCACATTGTAAATTGGGAACAAGTGTGTCTTCCTAAGGAAGTTGGTGGGCTGGGAATAAAAAAATTGAAGAAGTTCAATTCTGCCCTTCTTAGAAAATGGCTATGGAGGTTTGCTAGTGAAAGAAATGCATGGTGG